AAAATAAAACTCAAATATCTACTGCTGAAAATGTACATGATCCCTTTTGTTGTTTGGTCTTTAATATTAATTGTGCTTTCTAGTTATATGACTTACATTTATGTAGGTTGAAGCTTTATTTGAATTGATAAGAGTGCTTATCAAGGATTTAGATGGGTCTCTTCCTGATGAGGTTCACTTTCTTACCTTTATATTGATAATCTATAAATCCTTCTTACTAATTGAACTTATCATCCTTTTATTTTCTTAAATTTGAGCCAACATTTGGGCTTGTTTCCGTTTCATGATGTTGTTTTATCTTTTCTTTATCCTCTCCCACTTCAATTCTTTAGGTTGATGAAGATGATTTCAAGGAGGAGCAAGGTTCTGTTGCTCGTCTTATTCAGATGTTGTATAATGATGACCCAGATGAAATGTATAAGGTACTTCAGTACTTGGATTATATATACAATTTTTATCTCATGGATACACAAATACTCCGTCGATCTTATTTCTTGAATGCACCAGTAGAGCTTGATAAAATGCAATGAGCAGCTTTAGTGGACTATGGCATCAACATTCTATAATTTTTTTAATGACACATATATAATGAATACTTGATTGGTTTTTGGTACCGTCAAACCATTGCCTGGGTACTATTGCTCTGGACCTTTAGTTACACCACTTTGTAGTGTAGATGGTAGATAGATGAGAAAGTTCATCCAGCTGTTGTTGTGAGGCCCATGCTTTAGCTGACGGCCTTATCATCACTGGTAGCAGTAGTGTGGCTTCAGGGACGACTTTGAGTTGGCTGGTGGATCTTTAGGATATTCTTTGGCTTGCCATCTCTCCTCATTGGAAAGGGTCTGTTTGACTTGAGGTTGATTCATTTACAAAATTTGATCCTGCCCCCAAATTAAAGTTGATGTCTAACTTCTATGTTTCACATCTTGAGCAAACTTATATTATGGGATTGGCTAACCATTGGTTGGCGTCATTCATAACTTGGTCAATCCAACCACCATAGGTTAACCTAGTGGTCAGTAAGGGCGATGAGTATAAGAATGGGTTCAATCTATGGTGATCACCTACCTACATATTTTCTTGCATCCAAATATAGTAGGGTTAGACATTTGTCCAGTGAGATCAGTTGAGGTGCGTGCAAGTGAGCTCAGACACTCATGGATATAAAAAAATTAAAAAAAAATCTTTATCAATATATCCGTAGGGATGAAGAAAAGCTAAATAATTATTAATAACTTTCATACTCTGTAAAATTTCCTTAAGAGGAAGGATGTTTTGATTTCTTCTGAATGGTTGATGTTTGTGAGGAACCATAACCTGTATTCTAATGAATTGCAGATAATATCTACTGTCAGTAGGCATATCCTGACAGGAGGAATAAAGCGTCTGCCATTTACTGTCCCTGCCCTTGTATTTTCATCTCTCAAGGTTTGCCTCTCTTGGTTCAGCTCAACTCTTTTGTTGATTCTTTTTTATTTTACTTTTGAGTCTTATAATTACGGGTTTATTGTTGTTTTAGCATGTGAGATTAGTTATTGTGAGTATTAGAGCTTTTCATAATTGTTGGTGTCATAAACTTGCCGTTATGAGCTACTGGAATGAGTGGGGTTTCGTCCCCTCCGAAGTAGTGGAAGATTTGAAGTGTTTGAGTGTTGTAAACCTCATCCCTCATTCCTGTGAATGACTAGGTGTAAAGGTCGACAAAAAATTGCTGGAGTGAATCATAAAACCATTATTTTCTTATCGGTTAAAAAGGAAGGATTATGGCAGTGAAGATTGCTATGATTTTGTTAGTGGGGCATCATGTTTTGAAAATATAGTAACTGTGAATTACCTATTAATTGCAGTTGGTTAGGCAATTGCAAGGCCAAGAAAAAAATCCTTCTGGAGATGAGACAGCAACTACCCCAAAGAAAATATTTCAGCTACTAACTCAGGTACTTCCTAAATGGAGCCGAGTGGCTGTCTTCCTTTTGTAAGCTTGGTGTCCATCTTCTAATATTTTGTTTTAACTGCATGGTATAATCTGTTGTAACTGTGGCTGCAATGTCAAATTGTGATTATCTTGGAGGTTTTTCTTTTTCCTAAATATGTTTGTTCCTCTAGCTGGTTTTTCTGTGGCTCCCTTCTGTTGCAGATGGCTCATGTTTTATGCATGTTTTAAAGAACTTGTGTAATCTTGTTAATATTGAATTAAATATTTATAATGTTCCCACTTGTTGCCTTAGACCATTGAGACCCTTTCAAGTGTTTTAGCCCCAGAATTGGCGTTTCGGTTGTATTTACAATGTGCGGAGGTATGCCAAGAAATTTTGTACGTGATAGTTTGGATTATTATGATATGTAGCTGCAACTTAGATGTGCGTTGTCATTGACCAGGCTGCAAATGATTGTGGTTTAGAACCTGTTGCTTACGAATTTTTTACCCAAGCATACATTCTTTATGAAGAAGAAATTTCAGTAAGTTGGATCGGATCCTTTGTTCTTGTGTTAATTGTTTCTTATATCAATTATTCCCTCCCGTGCTTATGACGTCGTGCAACTTTTCTTTTACAGGATTCAAAAGCTCAAGTGACTGCATTACATTTAATTATAGGCACTCTTCAGAAGATGCATGTTTTTGGTGTTGAAAACAGGGAGACTTTAACCCACAAAGCCACAGGGGTACTTTCTACATAATCCTGACACTATATTGTTTATATTTGACATGTACTGGAATATTAATATGCATCTACATCTTTTGTTTCTTTTATCACCTTCCAGTCTAAGATCTTTACATATACTCAATTTGGAAATTTTGTTTTAAGTCCTTTTCATGTTTATATTATCTCTGTCCGGAAGATGGCATGGTAACAAGTTTAAAAATATGAAATATTTTTTGGCCAAGACCCTGACAAAGCTACCTCATGGCGCAGTACTCTGCAAAGCTTTTAAAAAAGCCCGATCAATGTCGAGCTGTTTATGCCTGCTCACATCTTTTCTGGCTTGATGATCATGAGAATATGAAGGATGGTGAGAGGTGAGTTACAAGTGTACAGCAAGTTTATGTTAATGGTCTCATGTTTTTTGGATGTGGGTCTTGTAGCTAGGCACTTCTTGCTTTAATGAACTGCTAAAACATTCATTGCATCCTTGATCTTTCTGATGTTATACAGAGTTATTATCTTATTATTGTGTAGACTTCATAAATGTACCATGGATTTTCCTAGAGTAGAAATGAAAATTTTGAATGCTTTATTTAAGAACATCTGCTGTTCTTTGACTGTATTGTCTAAACAGAAAATAAGTAGAAAAGAGAGTTTAATGGCTTTTGTTACTGAAATGTTGCAAATTCTGATAAACCAACCAGGGTTATGCTCTGCCTAAAGCGTGCATTAAGAATAGCAAATGCTGCTCAGCAAATGTCAAATGCAACAAGGGGTGGCACTGGGCCAGCGACGCTTTTCATTGAGATACTGAACAAGTAATTCTTGTATTCTGAAACTGTTGAAAGACTCGTGAACATTTGAGTATCATTTTCTCCCGGTAGATAGATCATTTTTGCTTTGTTTGCTTGCAGATACTTGTACTTTTTCGAGAAGGGTAACCAGCAGATCAGTGTAGGTACCATTCAGGGCCTAATCGAGTTGATTACAACCGAAATGCAAGGTGAGTCTGCTACTCCAGATTCATCGGCAGATGCTTTCTTTGCCAGCACTCTCAGGTACATTGAGTTCCAAAAGCAGAAAGGTGGTGCAGTGGGTGAGAAATATGAGGCTATTAAGCTGTAAACTTAAAAGTGGATGCCTGTAAATTAATGCCAACATTGACAATGTTACATTTTGCAACCAGTTTTGTTTGATTTAATTTAGTTTTCTTTCTGAAGAGGCAGTTAGCTGGATTCCAATTTTTCTATTTTCTTCCTTGCTTCTCTGTTATACAAAATGTCCATGATTCTAGCTACTTAAGATCCCTGTTCAGTAGAATGTGAGACAGTACTGCTTCCCTATTCTCATGAGACTTCACTATGTGCAATGTGAGACTGATACTGTTTACTGGCTACTTTCCAGGTTGTTGTATGCTTGGTGAGCTCATCTGACCTGTCGGAGCAAATATAGATTAAGAGTAGAGATGTGTCTATTTTAACTCACGGAGTTGAGAACAGGGGAGGAATCTGTTAGCTAAACAGGGTCAAGCATGAAAATTATATATGAATCTATATAATTTGGTCTTTGAAATGAAGAATTTCACATTACTGAATTAGGTGACAAGGACAGGATGCTGAGATGCTAGCATCCTAAGGGAAATATGAAGTTTCATCTTAAAGCTAACTAACAACCAGTAGTAACACTCAAAATAGTTCCTATTTTGATCTACCAATCAGCTGTCGGCCCCAACGACACCTCAGACTTTAACTGTCGAAACTTCTTTGTCACTGTCATTTCCCCCGGACCAAGGCAGTGTACTCCCATGCTCCAACCATGCAGCCCGCCCGCCCCCTATGTATTATATACTACATTTTTGGGGAACACATCAAAATGGCAACTGCTCATATTATATATATATAACTTATTATTAGTTGGTTGGTCCAAGTTTTAATGACATAAATTTTGTAATTTTTCATGCCAATTTGTGATAGCACACGCTAAAGTTTCAATCAATTCTTGTTAATATCCGTGCCAGGAAATTAAGAACATAAATCCAGTAACCCAAACAAGATGATGTCATGAGACTCCTTTGCTACTAGGAGAGTCCGCTACTATTAGCGTCATTAAATAAGAGTTTGTTTTTCAAAGGTCAAATTCTTTCTATTCTTCTAGACCAAATTTGACAAATGTCTATCCATAAAATCATATTTTGGAAACAACAACAATCAAAACTAAAAACCAAAAACAGAAAAGAAAAAAAAAAACATTTAAAAAGCTGTTGGCATAAAATGAGAGCAGTTTTGATTGGAAGTAAAACAGATCCAAAAAAAGAACTACTTATGCTCTCCATACTACAAACAAAACCACAAGTCAAGTCAGAATGCAAATTTATATATAAAAGAATCCATCAATGTTTCTCTTTGAAGCACACACTTTGCATTACAAATCCTTCCCCTACTTCCCTCCATACATACATATACACTTTTCAAGCACATCACAATACAACTCTTAGTGCCCTTCCACCAAAAACAAATTGTTGCTTCCTAACCCTTGTAGTAGCGTGTTCCAGTATCCAAATCTCTATTAGTACACAATTCAAACCAAAGGCTAAAATAAGGTGAGGAACATGACATGTCTTTTCATTCGATACCACGTGATTTTCAGGAATGCAGTAATAAACTACCCGATGATGCTTCACAGAGATTGCGAGTATTGCGGGACAGAAATAAATCAGACTTTCAGGCCACTACATAATCAAAAGGAAAGAAAGAAAAAAAAGGATGAGAGAATACAGGCAGACAAAGGGTGACGCCATGTTTTCACAACTAGAGTTCTGCTCATAATATCGAGCACGCTTTAGATTTGCCCTTCTTTTTCTTCTGCTTTGGAGGTTGAAGTACAACCCTAATTGCGGCATCAAAAACTCCCTTCACATTCTGTGGTTACATCACACGTTCAAAACCAAATCAATAATCCATACTGCAATGCCAAAACACTAGATCACTCACATAAGAATACAAATACCTGCTGAGTTTTTGAACTGCACTCGATGTACGCAGGAGCACCGATCAGCTTCCTGAGCTCCTCTCCCTTGACATTGACAAGAAATTCAAATTATACCAAAAAAGCAAAAACACCTTGAAAATGTAAAATCATCTAGGATAAACATTTACCTGGGCTTCTGAAATGGGAACTGCACCGGGATGGTCAATAAAGAACTGTTCATCATCTCGAAGATCTATTTCGTAAAAAATAAACATCAATGAGAACTAATCCAGGGCAGTCATTGATGGCACCACATGTTACCAACATTAAACAGCATAATCAATCCCAATACAGAAATGGAGAAGATAACTGACAAGATCAATTCCATTAACTTGTAACAAATTTCTTTACAACTGTACTATGTACCTAAAAAATGAATATCGCAATCTAATCAAGCAGAAATTGTACATGCACGCTTGCAAGAAACCGTTCAGTTACTAGGTAACTATCAAGATCATAATACTACAAGATCAATTCTACTTCACCTTCTAGCCTACAAGTGTTGGTGAAGTTTTCTTTTTCTTTGCCATGAGCGAAGACGAGGCTCTTACTCCAGGCCAATAAATAATATCCAATAATTGAACTCTCCTGTGTTACTTGCGCACAAGACGAACCACACGACAGATTAACTTCAACCATGCAAATGACGGTGATGTCAGGAGGGATGTGCTAAATATGATTTCAATTCCAAACATTTGCCATTCTTGATAACATGGACACTCCGGGGACTAACATCTAGTCAGCAAAAGAACATTGTACTTCCTAGGGTTTCGTATAATCCAACTTCACAAGGTACTTTAGGAAGAATCATTTTTGTAAGTCTCAGGTAGGTGTATCCTTCCGAAGGTGGGTTTTCTTTTCATTAAAAAGTTTCTACTTCAGACTTTCAAGTAAAATGGAGAGGAGAGCTTGACATCAGAAATTGTTAAAAGAAGAGGAAACGAAGAATCCTAATCATATCTCAGTAGAGAAGAGACAGTATTTCAACAAAAGTGTACGACTTGCTAGAGCCAGCTGTCTTTATGTTGTTTTAATCACATTGACCGGTAACAGGCATCGAAACATGCTGAAATATACACCAAGATACTAGACGACCAACACCAACCCAAAAAAATTATAAGTACACTAGAGGGTAGACAACCCAAAGAAGTTGCAAGTCCACAAGATGGGCAGATTCTTAAAATGAGCAAATGTTCCCCCATCACTTAAGGCTCACAGAGAGAGGGGGGGAAATTATTCTTTTACATATTTGAGATAAACTAGAGGCCTCAAGGACATGGGTTCCCATTTTATTTCATAGCTCAGCTTCACGAAGTATTTGGTGCAGATTGCTCCATATGAGCTTTGCAACCACCGAGGATTGAGGACTCTATGCGTAATTTTTGAATTAATGATCATACTCGCCAGTGTGTAACAAGAGATTTTCTTATGACAAGGTGAAGGATTGGTACAAGATAAACAATGTAACGGCCCAGGCTCACCGCTAGCAGATATTGTCCTCTTTGGGTTTTCCCTTTCAGGCTTCCCCTCAAGGTTTTTAAAACTTGTTTGCTAGGGAAAGGTTTCCACACCCTTATAAAGAGTGTTTCGTTCTCCTCTCCAACCGATGTGAGATATCACAATCCACCCCCCTTTAGGGCCCAGCGTCCTCGCTGACACTTGTTCCTTTCTCCAATCGATGTGGGAACCCCACCAAATCCACCCACCTTCGAAACCCAGCGTCCTTATTGGCACACCGCCTCGTGTCTACCCCCCTTAGGAGAACGGCCTCCTCGCTGACACATCGCCCAGTGTCTGGCTCCAATACCATTTGTAACGGCTTAGGCCCACCGCTAGCAGATATTGTCCTCTTTGGACTTTTCCTTTCGGGCTTCCCCTCAAGGTTTTTAAAACGCGTATGCTAGGAAAAGGTTTCCACACCCTTATAAAGAGTGTTTCGCTCTCCTCCCCAACCGATGTGGGATATCACAAACAATCAAGACTATATGTTATTAGTAATCGACAGACATTGCTAATTAGAGAGCAGGCATTCATCACTAAGTTAATACTCACCGGAATTAAAGGAAAGCATGCTTCTTCAAACCAGATATAATATTTTTCTCATAAGATTTCAAAATGAGAAATGATGGCATAGCCTAAACATACATTATATAGAATCTACATGGCCAAGTAAGCGAAAGCCAAACAAGAATCAAATAATGAAAGATTCGAAGAACATGAGAAATATAATTTACCAAGCTTAGTTCCAACAAGAACAATTGGTACTCCTGGAGCATAATGTTTCAACTCTGGAATCCACTGGATATCATGCAAAAAATATGGACATAAAGAATTAGTAATTATATTTCAAGAACTAGTAAATGTTCAAAACCGGAGAAAAACTTATCATCATCCGTCATTATACCTTTTTAGAAACATTTTCATAGCTGGCCTTGCTAATGAGAGAGAATGCCAAAATAAAAACATCAGCCCCACGATAACTCAAAGGCCTTAGTCGGTTATAATCCTCCTGTCCTGTTCCATAGAATAACAAATTCAGCCCCAAGAAACAAAGTAGGAACACTGAAAAGATAAGAAAATGATAGAATATCAAAATACCAGCTGTATCCCATAACCCTAGGTTAACAGTGCTCCCATTCACAACCACATTTGCGCTGAAATTGTCGAAAACTGTAGGCACATAATCCTACATTCCAGCACATTTCGAAAATAAATAAATAAATATCAAGTTTCTTAGAACAGGAAATAACTAAGAGAAAAACACGATTATAGATGAAAGTAATAAACAAAAGGTATATATAATGCAAATGATCATCTTAATTCAAAAATTTTCTTTTTATAAAGAAAAAAAAGACATGGATGGAAAATATTAAAATACCCATCTGCTCATTGAATTTCTGACACGCAATCATAGACCAAGGATTTCACATCGAACTCTTTACAACAAGAAAACAAGAAATTGAAGCCAAATGGCAGAAGCAAAAGTAAAAAATAAAATCTTGAATACCAATAGATCCCATGTTAACCGAGCCATTCGTTATTACTAGGCAAGACATTACATAACAATCCCGATCCCAGCAACAGAAATCAAATAGAGTAACGATAATTCAAAGGAAACAAAAACACAAAACAATCAAATCGATCACATAGTTTCAACATTCAGTGGTATCAATGAGCGCAATTCCCTCCCCTCCCGAACAACGAAAGAAGAATAAAAAACACAACAAAGAATGACATTGAAGCAACAGAAAAAGTTTCAAAAGGAAAGAGAGAGACGGACAGTGGGGAAGGTGTTGCTGGTATATGAAATAAGGAGACAAGTCTTGCCAACAGCACCATCGCCAACGGTGACACACTTGATGAACCGTGAAGCGCTCATTGTTGAGAAGCCAGAAAGGGAAAAGAGGCCTCAGATCGTGAACCTGAGGACAACAAAAAACGAAAGAAAACCCTCTAACTAGTATACGGCGGCGGTTCAAAGTGCAGTTCCTCCTTCCTCCGGCAGTTGGTGTACAACAGTCAATAGCGCATCTGAAAGAGAAGAGACGGAAAATCAAACAACTGAAGAAAACCCTAAAATGGAGAAAAAGAGGAGAAATGAGAGAAGAACCAAAAGAGAAATTGAAGAAGAAGAAGAAGAGGGCTAACCCTTGGAGAAAGAGGAAAAGACAGTAACAAAAGGAAGAATTGAGAATCAATGGAGGCGGAGGAATGGTTGCAGAGAGAGAGAGAGAGAGCGCGAGAAGGAAGAAAGAGAAACCTTTGGAAGCCGGGAAATAATGCCGATGAAGCGTTCGTTGAGCAAACCAATCTTCGCCAACAAACCTTGGTTTGTTGAGTTTTTTTTTATTTCTTTTTTTTTTTTACTTTTAAGTTTTTTTTTTTTTTTTTTTTAATTTTATTTGGACTAAACTACAAAATTTACCCGTTCAGTGGAACCCACTAATAATGGGTTGTTTCAGCATGTTTTGTCTTTACTCACATGTTTTCTAGTAAAATCCTCAGAAACTAATAATGGGTTGTTTCATGTTTTGTCTTCACTCACATGTTTTCTAGTAAAATTCTCAGAAAATTACTCAACATAAGATTAATAATTATGGGTCATTTCAATATATTTTACTTTCACTCACATGCTTTTTAAGATAAGATTACTAATCACTGATCACATTTTATCAATATTCCTCCGAGCTATAAACAAGTTTCATATAATTATAATTATTAAATCTTCAGGATCAGTCAATATAATCTCAGCTCATTCATGTATTTCTCGTTTACTTATAAATCATACCGTTATAAAAATTAAAGACTATAATTGATATAATTATTATTTTTATAAATTAATCTTTTTCTCTCAAACATTTTGTGGCTGTCCAAGATTGTGAAGCCTCTATGCTATCATTGTTCTGGAATTATTATTCGACAAATATTAATTTTCTTTCCTTAGAAAACAATATATTTGTATTTGTATTAAATTTAAAAAAAAAAATACAAACGGTATTGAATCCATGTTTTAAGATATGTATGCATTAATAAATAATATTCGTTACACTAACTAATAATATTTGTTAATTATAATAATTTGAACGTTACACTAACTATAGTTTAGAGTATTTAGTATATATATAAATATATATCAAATCAAATTCGGATATGAATTTTGGTCAAATTGTTTCGATAGTAATAAGATTTTGTACTCCGTAAATCATTTTTTATTTATATAATAAATGGTAAATTAAAAGAAATAATATGAATTTTATATTTATCTTGGTCGATATAATACAAAACTTGGATCGGAACATTCTGTTCTAGATCTTGATCAACGCTTGCAAAACGGATGAATCATGTCGTCCAACGCCTTCCGATCATAATGTCCGGTGAACTATTAGAACTCTCTTCCCATAAATGCCTGTAAATTCAGTAAAACCACTATAAATTAAAAAACATAAAACATGCACGATTTAGGAAGAAATCCTGTGATCAATCAAACAAATTCACTTCTATCCACATACCTCTAGAGAATCTCAGGCTGATTGAGAAGAACAGACCCAATATTGTAGGAGCAGGGTAATCAGCTAGCAGAGATCCATGATTTGAGTAAAGCTCCACCAAATTTCTCTCATTGGCCTATAACTCAGCCCATAAAACCTATTCCGATTCAACTCAACTCCAAGACGAGCGGGAAGGGGCCAAATTACGATCGCTTATCAAAAAAGAGCAACTGGCGGCAGATTTGGAGGATGAGAACTTGACGATAAGATCAGATACGAGTGAAACGAGCAAATTCGGGAGGGGATGAGAAAAAGATAAAGGAGAAGAGGGCGGCGTTCTTAGCTAAGTGATGGCGGGCTGTGAAGGGATGAAGAAAAGAGAAGGGAGAAGGGGCGGGCATAGTTGCAGTTAGTTAATTAAGTGGTGGCGGGTAGCCGGTTAGTAATGGCTACGACTACGGCTGGTGTTAGTTAAGTGGTGGAGGGCGACTGGTTAGTAATAGCTACTGCCGGTGTTAGTTAAGTGGTGGCGGGAGACTAGTTAGTAATGGCTACAACCCATGTTAATTAAGTGATGGCGGGAGGCTGGTTAGTAATAGCTACGGCGGTGTTGGCTGAAGGCTGGTTAGTAATGGCTACGGCCCGTGTTAGTTAAGTGATGGCGGGAGACTGGTTAGTAATAGCTACGGCCGGTGTTAGTTAAGTGGTGGCAGGAAGGGTAGTTAGTAATGGGTGTTAGGCAACTAAAATATTGATAAATTTTTTCATTTTTTATATTACTCATATATATTTTTAATATAATTTTTTTAAAATTAAAAATAGAATATTAATGAAATAATCGTTTCTTCCTCCTTATCTTGTCACCCTAAAATCAAATAAAACAAGAGTTATTAACGTAATATTAAAACCCAATAATAAAAAATAAAATTTATAAATTTAAATTATTTATTTTAAAATTAAATTAAATTAAAGTTTAATTTATTTTAAAAAAATTATATTAAATTATAAGATATTTCTATAATACTTACCGATATGTCAATAACACTTGAACCGCGTAATGCAAATAAAATAAATCCAATGTCATTGGTCAGCTGCCGCATCTATAAAATAAAATAAAATAAATAAATATTAATAAAACATACATAAAACATAATACAAAATTTATAAATTATCAAAATAAAATTAAAATATAAAATTTTACTTACCCTTGGAAAATTTGCTATTAATGTAATAGAAACCCATCCATGCTTATCCATATGGCTCCTTAAATAAGCATCTTTAATTAAATTTTTATCACTGCATCAATAATAAATTTATTAAATCATATTGTTAATAATAAAATTTATTAAATAATATTCTTAATAATAAATTTTATTAAAAATTGAAATTTAGTAGATAATTGTTTTTTAAATAAAAAAAATCTAAACATATATTTTATAAATCAATTTAAAATTTAAAATTATTGTATAAAAAATAAAAATAAAATTAAAAATAAAAAAAATGTAAATACAAGGTTAAAAACTAATTAATTTAATTATAAATATAAATTATATACTTACCTAAAATAATAATTAACTTGGTTTATTATTCTCCAATATAATCCTTCACAAAAATTTGTTGTTTGATACGACTGCGGTTGAGGCGGAGGCGGTACCGGCCGTGAAGAATTATACATGTGATGTGAACATATATAATAATTCATCGGTAAAAATCCTGACAAACACAAAAAATAATAAATATATAATTATGGGATGAGAAAACGAATAATTATAATAAAATGATAAAGATTTGTTCAAAACTTACTTGGTCGAGGAGTGAACGGGTGACTAAATTGAATCGGTGGTAGGAAAGATCTAGGTGTGGTGGAAGCACCAACTCCATTAGACAATTCCATGATTGTATATTGAAAAATGAATATTTGAACAAGAAAAATAGGGTGAGAGGTGTTGATGCTCAAGAACCTATTTAAAGGGAAAAAAGAAAATAAGAAAAATATGGTGAGAAGTGTTGATAATCAAGAACCTATTTAAAAAGAAAAAGAAATTAATTTTTTATTAAATTTTAATAATATATAGATTTTTAAAATGAAATTAAATCTAAGATTTCAAATGATATTTAAATAAAGATTACTCATTTTTAAAAATCTTATTTTTTAAATTTTAATCCAAATGAATATAATATATTTAAAAGATTTTAAAATTAAAAATAAATCTAACATTTCAAATGATATCTTAAATAATTTAAAATAAATGAGATTACTCATTTTTATAAATCTAATTTTTTAAATTTGTTTAGCATTTTTAATTTTTTTATTATATAAGTTATTTAATTTTTAAAAAATATAAAACAAAAAATAGAAAAATTATCCACTAATATTTAAAAATAGTTTAATAAATAAATAAATAATTTTAATAATGGATGTAATTTGATAAGAAGAGATTAAATTATAATTATTAATTTTATGATTTATGTATAAAAAAATATTCCAAATTTTTTAAAAATTTTAATTTCGTATGGAAAGATTTTGAATTTTAAAAATATTTTTTAAATTTTAATTAAAATCTTGAAAAGTTTACAGTTTTTTTTGTTAGATATATATTTTCAAAATTAAAAATCTTAAATTTATTAAATATATTTTTAATTATTCATTTAAATATTAAATATAAATATTATTAACAAATTATTATTATTATTATTATTATTTAATATGTCGTATCAAATTTGGAAAAGAATATGATTAAGAAAACAAATGTTTTTTTTGTTTAAAAAACTTGAATCTGTTTCACAAATTTACCTTCTCTAATTCTAACCATTTTTATCTGTTGCTCTCATTAAATAGAGTTTATATCATTTTGTTTATATTCCGGAGTGGTAGAGCTATGATCTTCTGACAACTGCTTGGATCATTCTGTTGCTCCCATTAAACATGGGGTTTGTATCATTTTGTTTATACTCCGGAGCATTAGAGTTATGATCTTCTAACCGCTGCTTTGATCGTTCGAGGGTTTTATGTTGAGTAAGGAAGCGACTTATATTCATTCTACTTAAAAAAATATATAGTTTAGTTAAAGGGTTATTTCAAGACATTATGTATTTTTTTCATAATCTATTTTATATATGCAGAACCAGGTTTGAAAAGCCATTGTTTTTTTTTTTTTTAAAACAATACTAGAGATTTTGTTTTTTTAAATAAAAACAAGATATTTGTATTTGTATTAAATTAAAAAAAAAATACAAACTGTATTTATAATCCATTTTTTATAATATGTATGCATTAATAAATAATATTTCTTATTTATAATGATTTAAACAAAAAAACAACTATAATTTAGAGTATATATATATATATATATATATATATATATATATATATATATATTTTAAAAAACAATAATTAATTGAGATTTTGTTTTTAAAATAAAAACAAGATATTTGTATTTGTATTAAATTAAAAAAAATTACAAACTGTATTTATAATCCATTTTTTACAATAGGCATGCATTAATAAATAATATTTGTTATTTATAATGATTTGAACGTAATTTAATTGAGAAAAACAATTATAATTTAGAGTATTTAGTATATATATATATATATATATTTTAAAAAACAATAATTAACAGAGATTTTGTTTTTTTAAATAAAAACAAGATATTTATATTTGTATTAAATTAAAAAAAATTACAAACTGTATTTATAATCCATTTTTTATAATATGTATGCATTAACAAATAATATTTAGTAATTTAATGGAGAAAAACAACTATAATTT